GGTCATGTTTACCAAGACCTTACGAATAACGAGCCTAGAAGGATTCCAAAGGAGCACCAAGGTTTCTCGAAACGGCACAAATCGCGCTGCAGATTGGGCGACCGCCTCTTGCTGCTGCGTGCATATGCTGGCATAAGGTAGGCGCAGACGTACATAGTGGTGTGTTTAGTCTCCCCGAAATGCTGCGTACACGGCAATTGAGCCATTCATGACGCGGGAGACCCCTGCGGTAGCTCCCCACCATGACGCACACGACCCCTAGTGCATTTTTGGGGCTGTCTGTGAGGGGCAATTTTGGAACGGGTTGATGGCCGAGATGGAGGGGCCGAGCCGAGGACGTGAACTTTTGACAAGAAGAAGAGAGTGAGCTTGCAGTTAGGATGATAAACAGATTCACGGAACTTTGATGGTTTGAGTATAATGCAATTGATATTTTTTCGTCAGGTTCTGCATCCTAAATACCTTATTATCGAAGAAGATAAATCCTTGGTGAGTTATCCGGCATGCAGACTTCGGACCCATTGTAGAAAAATGGTGCACTCTTCTAGGTTACATTCTTCAAAAGACCTGGATGGGCCAGGGGCATCTTCGTAGTCCAACACAGACTCCGAATGCCGAGTGGAGCAGAGTGTCGTTGATCGGTCTTAGAGGTGGCGTGGCGGGGAGAAAACCAAATTGAATTACAAAGCAGGAGTGTTTCAGAGCCGTGGACGTCAGTTTGGGGCTCCGCTGCTGCGAACCAGAAAGCTGAATAAACAAGACAAGGTGCATGAAGAAGTGGACATGCGAATTATTGAGACATTACAAAAACCATCGCCCCTCCTCACCTTGCGTCAGTCTTTCTTCCGAACCCTTGAGATGTAGAGCATTAAGAACAAAGTCGCCCACAGACACGTTCATCCCCCAGCATTAGACTTCACGACAAACCTCCCCCAAACAACCACCACCATAATAGACACACACAAACCACCAAGATGGCACCCTCAAGATACGCCGCCGAGGCCGTGGACCCCAAACCCCTCGCCGAACCCCTCAAATTCGCCTTCTCCGGCAAAGTCGCAAAGAACCGCTTCCTCAAAGGCGCAATGACGGAGCGCCTCTCGACCTGGGACCCCAAAACCCCGACGAACCGCGGCATCCCCACGCCCGAGCTTATCAACCTCTACCGTCGCTGGGGCGAGGGCGATTTCGGCGTCCTCCTCTCCGGCAACGTCATGCTCGACTACGACCAGCTCGAGGCCGCCGGCAACCCGATTATCCCGCTCGACGCACCCTTCGAGGGCGAGCGCTTCGAAGGGTTCCGCAAGTTGGCCGAGGGCGCCAAGGCGCATGGCAGTCTGTTGCACGCGCAGCTTAGTCACCCCGGCAGACAGGTCGAGCAGAAGATTAACCCGCACCCCATCTCGGCGAGCGACGTGCAGCTTGAGGGGGATGTCATGGGTATGAGATTCGCGAAGCCGAGAGCGATGGAGAAGGAGGACTTTGAAAAGGTTATTGGTGGGTTTGCACATGCGGCTGAATATGTCTACAAGGCTGGCTTTGACGGAGTCGAGCTTCACGGCGCACAGTGAGTTCCCCCCTTTGCATAGTGCCATCTTGGGCAGTTGGTTGACGTCTGAACAGCGGCTACCTCCTCGCGCAATTCCTCTCTCCGACAACAAACAAGCGCACCGACCAGTACGGCGGCTCCCTCACCAACCGCGCGCGCATCATCCTCGAAATCGCCGACGCCATCCGCGCCCGCGTCCCCGACCCGTCCTTCAGCATCGGCATCAAAGTCAACAGCGTCGAGTTCCAAGACGAAGGCTTCTCGACCGAAGACTGCCGCGACCTCTGCTCCGCGCTCGAGGCCGCATCCTTCGACTTCGTCGAGTTGTCCGGCGGAACGTACCAGTCCCTCGCGTTCGAGCACAAGCGCGAGTCCACAAAGAAGCGCGAGGCGTTCTTCTTGGATTTCGCGGAGAAGATTATCCCGCAGCTGACCAAGACGAAAGCGTACGTCACCGGCGGGCTGAGGACTGTGCCTGCCATGGTGGAGGCGCTGAAGACGGTGCACGGCATCGGCCTGGCCAGACCTGCGTGTAACGAGGTGGATCTGCCGCGTAAGATTATCGCTGGCGAGGCGTCGGCTGCGATTGAGACGTTGTTGGGGGAGCAGGATTTCGGGCTGACGAATATGTTGGCGGGCACGCAGATGAGGCTCATCGGACGGGATCAGGAGCCGTTGGACGTGAGCAAGGAGAAGTACAAGGATGTGTTTATGAAGTCTCTGGGCAAGTGGGCGGAGGCGATGGGGAAGAATGAGGATGGGAGCAAGTTTGGGTATATTGATATTGAGGGGTTGGATTTGCACCCCTTTGGAAAGCCGTACGTTGCTTAGAGTCAAGATGAGGGTGGACGCATACTGTTCGGCGTTAGAGGATAGAGTGATAGAACAGATATTCTAGTCAATGGAATCAGTAGAATCAGTCAAACGAATCCCGGGTACTAGCTGATTGGTGAACATTGTAAAACGTGGTGATTCCATCTTGTCGTTTACAGATTCTAGACATTTCTTAGATGCATTCAGGTTAGATACCAGCATGGTACCTAAATGTCAATTGGCTGCACACACAGACGGGGTCCCGGGATACATCAGACAATCAACATCAGACGCGTCGAATCATGCGCGGGAGTCCAAGTGCTCAAACTCAATTGTAAATGCCAAACTTTTCTTGCCCTAGAGAATCCCCCATGATGGAAAATGAGATCCAAAGAGTTTTCGAACCTATGATAGAGAGTGGAAAGCGAGGCAATAAACACGAGCCGAAGCCGAATGACCGGAGAGAAAATCAATTTAATCCCGTCGGCAGTGACGCCGATTGCCCCGCCTTTTCCCCGCCGATTTTCCCCCGGAGTCCACGGCCGTTGACGAGTCGCTTAATGAAGAACTTGTCAGGTACTTGGTAGGTACTTCCATTGCTTCCCCGCCCCTGGAACACCCCTGTCTTCCCGTCTGCTCTGTTCACAAGGCTACCGACAGGGACATTCCAGGCGCCGTGCACTAAATCCGGACAGTGGCCTGTCATCAGCCGCCCCCTATTGGCAATCTCGTCCCAACTCACCTTCTTTCCCGCCCGTTCACCTGCCACTCGTTTTTCCATATCCGTCACTTCACCTCCAGCTATCACCACCACCGATCACCTCTCTTTTTTGGAGACACGGTAGCAATAGCAGCACAACATTAACACCAGCTATGCCGCCGTCGACTTCTTCAGTTCCTCGACCAAATCACGCTCGCTAGACCCGTCCCGACCGATCTCAATCCCGCCCATCATGTAGGCTCTTCCCATCTTCCTTCCCCGCACATCAGCTACGCGTGAACAACTCCAGCTAACCTCTCCGCCTCCAGGATCGAACCATCCCTCCGCGTCCGACGCGCCATCACAGCAAACGACCCCCTCCTCGTCAAACGAATCCTCAAATCCCACCCCCGCCTCCTCCACAACCCAGACCCATCCCCCGAAGCCCTCTCCAACTCGAACCTCCACCTCGCCGCCTCCCTAGGCCACCTCCCCGTCGCCAAAGTCCTCGTCGACCACGGCCACGAACACCCGGACCCGGCCCTCAACGAGCACCACCAAACAGCCCTCATGCTCGCCGCCGCCGCGGGCCACACCGAGGTCGTCCACTTCCTCTGCGAGCGGACCCCGCACGTCATCCTCCGGCGCGACATACGTTGGCGCGACGCCATCATGGAAGCGAGCCGCGGAGGGCACGATACCGTGCTGCAGATCCTGCTGACGTACGTCCCCGAGGGCGCGCGTGCCGCTGTGCAGAGGGCTGATTTGGACGGCAACACTGCGCTGCATTTCGCGAGCAGTAACGGGAATTTGCTCGTGCTGAGGACGCTGCTTGCCGCTGGCGCTGACGCCGAGAGGAGAAACGTGTGGAGCTGGACGGCCATGTCGTACAGCGCGACCGTGCAGGCGGAAGTGTACCTCAAGGGGCTCGTGACGGAGGTGGAGCGGCGCAAGTTGGTGAGGCAGGAGGTTGAGCAGCTCAAGAACTCTGTCAAGGGGGCGGTTAGCATCAAGGGCGGTGCTGTGCGGGTTGTTGAGGAGGATGTCGAAGTTGAGGACTGAGGCGGTCTACGACCTGGACATTCGGACTTTTCCGACTCATCAGCTCACGGCATTTGCGGGGTTCTCCATTGACATGGGCTCCAAGCTCGACGGTACGATGATGAGAATGTTGCAGCCCAGAGCTTCAGAGACCGGCGCATGGATTATTTACGGTGCTCCGCAACGGCATACCTCTTCACTACGACGCCACTCACACGAAGGCTACGCGATACCTTCCCGCAACAGCAATAATGTTGCGGTCCTCCCCTTTGGGTGGAGGAAGTGTCACATTCATCAGCGTCCTCAGCCTCGCTCACGGCATCTCGGGCCAGGGAAAATGATACAGTTACGGTCATCAAATTACGAGGGCCTAGCGAAATGACGTGGTGGAGACCCGACAGTCAGCTTGATTTTAGCCGACCATGATGGGTTGGCGCGTTATTAGATGGACAGCTGCAAAGTCGAGATCAGGATCGGGATGATGGTCGAAGTACTGTTTCACTCTTCTTAGGCTTTGCCCATACTCTGGCTCCCTTTGAGCTCTTGAACTGCGAACATGAGCTTGCGGGCCGAAGGAGCGAGCCAGCTTGAGGGTCCAAGGTGCCCTCGTTTGTTCAGCTTACATAAGACAGAGGTCCACAACAGCTCCAGCCACGGTCAGCCACGGTCAGCCACAACCGAAAGACAGGCGCCACAGGCAGTTGAGAAGCTCATAGCACACAATCAACCAATCGAATAACACTGGAATCACCATCAATCAAGACTTTGCAATTTCCACTTCATATTCATGTGATTATGTCGAACTTGAATTAGTACAGAGAACTACGGCTGCCATTACTAACTCACCCCGAGCATTGCGCCATAGCGATGATTCACCGTCGTGTACCAGCACCCATCATGCTCATCTCAACTTTGATAGACTCAAAGTGGGAATGGGAAGTTGTTTGCCGCGCATCACCATCAGTCACCGATAATCGTCTGATTAGACATTGACAGTGACTTTTCACATAGTTTGGTCTCATCTCTCGCAAGCCTCAAGTCACTGATTCACACTACTGCTCAATGTCACATAAATCTGGACCAAGATAACTGATCAAACTCTTTTTCGTCAATATTCGCATTCGTCTGCCCATAGCCTTCAAGCTCAACATACCTTGGGCACTAAAACAGTCAGCATCCAACTCGTCTTCTCAACCACACAACGCCCCCTAGTTAGCAGTCACCGTGGCGTCCCATCAGCCTCCCGTCGAGGAGGAACCAGAGTACCTGCCCTACCCAGCAACCAAACTCATCATCGCGCAGTACTGGAACTGCTCGCGCGACCCGCCGTTTTGGGGATACCTCATTGTCGGCACCTTTTTTGACCAGCACAACAACATCGTCTGGAGCACTGAGATTTTTGCTTTTCAGCGTGACACTCGCGGTGATCGGAGACACGGCAACGACGAGGAGGGGCAGTTTGTCGAGCGGTCGGATTCGGGTGAGTCACTTTGTTTTGTCCTCATGCGTGGCGGTTATTCGCTGCCAGTCAACCCGAGATATGTGATGTCTGGGAAGGATATATAAGAAGCGTTCATGTTCCCACCTTTGCTGACTTTTGGTTTCTTCACATCTCCAGACTCAAATACCAGCCAAGACTTGAACGACAGATTTTCTCGCAGCCTTGTTCTCGCCCAGACCAATAGCGCATACCATCATCCGGCACACATCCCGGCGTACGGATACCAAAGACACCCGCACCATCTCTGGGATCCGTCACACGCAGGCCCCGTCCCCGGCACTTGGATCACGGAATTCAACCCCGTGCTCGGAAACTGGGTAAACACCTGGCAGCCAAACCACAACTGATCCTACCTTGATCCACCCACACATCAAACAAAATGTCTAACCCCGTCAACGGCCCAGACATGGAAGGCCGCCGCCCCCCCTGGGGCCCCCAAGGCATGCCCCTCCCGCGCTGGGGCGAGCCCTACATCCCGCACGCCGGCTACGGCGCCCCGTCCCCGGCACCCTACGGAACATACTACTACCCGACTACCGCAACCTACCAGCCCTACCCGGGCTCAACCGCCTACGTCTGGCCCGGCGCCGGCATGCAGCAACAAGGAAGCTATTACCCAGGAACATACCCCCTCCAACCAAGCGGCCAAGCAACCTACACCCCGCGCACAGCAACCACCCTCCCAACCCTCGACCCACGCAACCCAGCAGCGCACCTCTCCAACTCAACAGGCGGAACGGGCTGCGAACCAGGCTACAACTACTTCTTCCCCGCCGCCCACACGAAAATCCACGTCTTCCGGACGAGCACGCCGCCGTGGCAGCTGCCCCTCAACGCGCGGATCCAGTTCTCCGCCTTTCACGTCCCCGTGAACACGACGCTCGCGGAGGTGTTGAAGGGGTTCGGGGCGACGAACCCGAATCCGAAGAAAAATAAGTGCTTTGAGATTGTGCAGGCCGGGAATGGACGGTGGTATAAGGGGTTGTGTTTCTCGGGGGACGATAAGGAGATGATGAAGAAGAGTGTGAAGGAGGTTGGGTGGGACGGGGAACGGAGTGGGATGCCGGGGGGGAAGCCTGTTGTTTGTGTTTGGCTTGTTAAGGATTGAGGCTGGGGTGCTTGGGTTGAGGGTCACTTATGGCTTCATCCTACATGATGAAGGGAGAGGGTGAGATTGTGGCTTGACTTTTGAGGCTTGGGCGTCGAGACCTTTTGGTGTGGGGGGAATCATCATGAAGATAGAGACTTACGGCTTGTGGGGGCGGGTTTTGGGAAGTTCAGATTTGGGGCAGATTTGCTGCGTTCGGAGGTTGACTCGTCGACTCCTCCGACTGTGTTCTCTCTTCTGCCTTCTCGCCTCCTCTTCTTCAATTTTTTGTCTGCTCGTCTGGCGGGTCTCCTTTATTTCGATTTCACAAGTGGAGTTTAGGAACTTGTTTTCTCTAAACATTAGGTTTTGGCATTGGCACTTGGCATTGGCATTACGGAGAGACATTAGACTTTTGCTGCTCTGCACTTTTTAGCAGTGCGCGCGCTTATCTAAGCTGACGCAAGAATTCGGGAAGCAAAAAATAAACTCTCGTCTCTCTGTGGTGCCGAAGGTTCTTAGTTTCTCAGGCTAAAGCTAAGCTTAAAAAGTTGTTTATTTCCGCAACGCTCCTTACTTCCGGTGTATCCGTTGACACTGCAACCTCTGGTACCTTGTAGTGATGGTACTAGTATCCGTAAGTGTGGAAACAATAAAGTAGCGTTAGGCATAATGATGCAATTGTACAATACAAATCTCAAGAACCGTTTGGGGGTGATCGTTGTTAGACTAAAGGGGTGAGGGGGGCGTGTTTGTCTGTCCGCCCACCGGTATCCCTGAATCCCGGGATCATTTACAACGAACACCGCCAAGATGTCTTTGCAACTCTGGTTCGATTTCGATTCCCGATTTTGTGGTTTCCGAAACTAATTTTCGCACCAGTGGGATGCGCCCAGTGGGAGGCGTCAGTGGCATGGGGCTGTACCATCCCACCGGAAACACACGAGCCAGCACCAAATCACGCTACGGATGTGCTTCGGATTTATTACGGGGGCTTGTCTGGGCACTTTGGGACTTCAAGACTTTGGGGGAGGTTGGCATTTTGGGGTTAAGGGTTGAAGCCTAGTGCATTGTGAGTCGAGTCGTGGCAAGAGGGCAGAACTTGGGAAGAGTCAAGAAATTAATTCTTAATTGGTGTTGATTGCATCGCTTTATGGGAGAGATTGCACCGTTTTTGCGGTTCCTATTTGATGGATCTTCGAATGATGGTCTCTACGGAGGTGCGTGTTCGTATAAAACTGGGTATGGATTCTGCGAGAATGCCAACGCGCCAAGGGGGCCGGACAGCCGGACTTGCGGACCCGTGGATCCCGCGGTTGAGAGACTGTAGTCCTGGACGTTGGACATTGGAAAAGAGTAAGGACCCAAGAGACCGAGAGTGGAAGAAGCCGAGAGTGCACCTCTCTTTGACAGAGCACTGTCAAATTTCAATACACGAGTAAAAGTTTACAGCTTGGTCGGAATTTCTAGTCATACCGTCAGATGGAAAGAGAAAACAATACGAAAATACGAGAAATAATGAAAAAAGTGTGCAGAATACAGAGAGAATGGAAACGCTGACGGACTTGCAACCCCCCAAAAGGCGTTTCCTCCGCTGTACTACTACCAGTAAAGGCGAGCCCTTCCCCTTTGGATTTCGGACTGTTCACGCCAGTCCCAAACTGACAGACGAGGGAAGTGGAGGATGATTACAAAGTGGCTCTGGACCGTTGTGTTGGACCACATGCGCCTCCTTAGCGCCTTGGCGCGAATCTATTCCCGACGCGCAGCGTCTTTCCCCCCCCCCCCCCCCGGCTCGGCTGCGGTGGACAATTCTTGTCTCAATCTGAGAAAACAACCTGCAGCCTGGTAGAGTGCTGACAGCTCTACGCGGAGTTTTGCAGAGTTAAGTGGGCTTAAAGGAGACTCTTGGAAAGGGTTAGCCGCAACCGCGCGCAACGGTCCTTTAATTTGGTCTTGAAGTGTCGTTCAGAGAGTGACCAACCAAACATGGTCCATCCCGGCCCCCACACCTGCACATAAGGTCCTTGTTGAGGTTAGGTAAGGCAGAGCTAGCGACATTTGAAGGGAGTGGAATACGGGCTGGGGGAGAGAGTCAAGACTCTAGACCTTGTCAAAGACTTCATAGTTGCCATGATGAAATGATTGTGCTCAATAGAAAGTAATTCAGATCTTCGAGGCTGCGGACTCAAGAAGTGGGCTTTAGTTGTATCGATAGACGAAATCGAGTAAGAAGGACATCTTCTTTGATTGAAGTATGTGGAGACTGCGAGAGTTGAGCGAAAATAGAGGTGGGAAAGGGTAAGGTGCTTTTGGCATCTTTCGGCTAGGCCATCCCACCCCCTTGTCTAATGTATCCCGCGCACTTAGATTGGGAAGGATGGTCCGAGTATGGTACATATATCCAATGGTCGACCATGTTTCCTTCATTGCTGACTTGCTCTCTATCTCTTGTCATCACCTTCATTCTTTCTCAACCTCGTTCTTTCGCTGTGTGTGCATTGCAGGACTTGGCTGGTTCATGTTCTGATATTTCCACTCAGGCTTTAACCTCACATTCGTTTTTGACACTCTTTCAAGTCATACACTGTCTCTAAACCAAAACTCATCGTTCCTTTGTCCCATCAACTCCGTTCCACTCAAACACTCAACTTTACCTCCTATCGCTCCCCAATACAATCAACAGCAAACCTCCAAAATGCCATCCATCGCATCAACCGCCGCGGCGGTCGCTTTCGCCGCCACCTCGGCCCTGGCTCTGACCTCTACCTCTGCCAAGTCCGACCTCGACGGCTCCGTCTGGAAGATGCTCGAGGGCACCTCCCCCGCCGCACTGGCCCCGCAGGTCCGCGCGCGCAACCGCCCCACAAAGCGCCAGACGGGCTGGAACCCCCCCTCTGAGCTCTCGGGCGCGTTGAAGGAGGTGTGGGCGCACTACGAGAAGACATACGACGGCGCCATCGAGGGCAACAAGAACTGGGGTTGGGACCAGATCATGGCCAACAACGGGTGAGTACCTCTTTCGCCTTCACATCCGATGCAAACAAGAAGACTAACACCCGCAGCTCCATCAACGTCTGCGTCCGCTGGGACTCCAACTCCCCCATCACGGCCGCTCAGCGCACCAAGCTCGCCTCGACCTACGCGGCCCAGTACCAAAAGTGGTTCAAGTGGCTCTACGGCTTCGACGGCTTCCCCTACGCCAACATCGACGTCAACATCGTCGGCTACGCCACCAACAACACGGCGCTGATCGAGGGCTCGACCGACGGCTTGGACGTCTACACCTCCTTCGCGGACCCGCAGGGCATACCCGCGTGCGACCCGGCCTGCGAGCGTGAAGCGCACCTCGACGGCGACTACAGCGGGTGCAAGGGCGGTGCGGCGCGCCACTTTGACAGCTCGCTTCAGCTTACGGACGGTTTGGAGGGCGGGTTCGGGTATTCTTGGGGTCAGCAGGTGGGCAGGGAGTATATGCTGAACAACCTCGACTCGGAGAGCATTCATATTCTGCTGCACGAGATGGGACATACTTTTGGACTGGATGATTTCTACGACTGGGAGCCGACGGGACAGAGCAAGTTCATCATGCTTGCCGGGTCTGCTATGGAGGTTACGGATTTCGATGGGTGGATGTACCGTAACTGGTGGTACGAGCTCTCGCAGAAGCGCGGATGGGCCAAGACGGGCTCTGGATCCGGGGCTGTCGCTTCTGGTGCTGCTTCGACTTCTGCCACGCCTTCCGCTACTGCGTCTGCTTCGGCTTCTGCTGCGCCGATTGTCAAGGAGGAGGAGGAGGTCGCCGAGACACCCGTCCCCACGCCGACTCCCACCCCTACGCCTACGCCTACCCCGACGCCTGCGTCTTCGTCTTCCGCTGCCGATGTTCCTGCCGCGACGTGCGCCGAGACTGCTGCGGAGCCTAGCGCGGCTGCTTCGGAGGAGTCCGGGTCCGAGGCGGCGGCGAAGTGGGGCCAGTGCGGTGGGGCTGGTTACTCCGGGCCCACTGCTTGTGCTTCCGGGTTGACTTGCACCAAGACCAATGAGTGGTACTCGCAGTGCTTGTAAGCGGAGCGTGCGCTTTACTTGAAGGGGTGTTTACAGCCTGGGTGATTTGCATTTTGAAGGCTTTGTTGCGAGGCGTTGCAAGAGTGAGATGGGATGATGGCGTGTAGTGGTTGGATGTGGGCTGGGTGCCGTGGTTGACGTGGCTTGGCCGCATTGCATCGACGTTGTATTCTTATTCTGTGTATCTACATT